AGGGTAAATAAAACAATGCATAAAAGAATCAGGAATGATCTGATGGTACTGGGGGCCCTTCCTGCGGGGTCGGAAGCTGGAGGCCAGACAGTAGGGCAGGGCAGGCGCTCCATCCTGAATGACTCAAAGCTAGTGTGTCTCTGCTGGAAATGCCTCAGGGAGCCAATTTCTGGAGAGTGTCAGTGTTGGGAAGGAAGGGCAAGGGAGGGCGGCTCCAGCAGCAGATGAGGAGGTGAGAGGCAGCAGTGACCCAAAATCCACGTCCCTGGGGGACAAATCCACTGGACGCTCCACAGAGAGGAGAGGAGGCCGGTCCCAACACTCTTTCCCCCAGAAGGCCTTTCTCAGTCAGCCTGGGTCCCTGACACGGGCACTTCAATGGTAGACAGGTATTCCTCACAGCTCTAGCGGCTGAGGTCTGAGATCAAGGCACCGGCAGATTCAGTTTCTAGTGAAAAGCCTTCCTGACTTACAGACGACGAGACGCATCCGGCAACTCTTCTCAGACCAGCACTAGCCCTGAGGCGGGGCCTCTGCAGGGCCTCATGGAGCCTTAACAGTCCTTAGAGGCACCAGCTCCAAACACAGCCTCACAGGTGACGGCCTCGGTGCGTGCATCGGGGGTTACACACGTCCGGTCCGTGACAGGGCTCGTCCAGAGAAGGTAACTCTAATGACAGCTGAAAACTGGTGCCACGCAGCTAACTGTATACGATTCTATTGCCGGTCATAAGATCATCAAGGCCAGCTGCCCTCCTGACATGCTGCGTGGGCAAGACCTCTCCGGAAGGTTCTGGGGGCGCACCCTCCTGACATGCGGGCTTCTGGACTTGGCCACCAGATGAACAAGGGGCCCGAATCCACCCCTGCGGGGCTCCGTTTGGCTTGTGCAGAATGGGGCCCCACAGGCCGAGTGCAGAAAACACAAAGGGACGGGGGCCCGGACACACCCCATGGGCAGTGCTGTCCCAGGGTCAGGAAGGCCCACGTCCCCACAGACGGCCGGAACTCCTTTTCCACCTGCCCTTCTCACTCCGTTCTGCTTGCTGACGCTGTTCCCCTCTCCGACACTTCTCTCCACAGCATCAGGAGCCCCGGCGGAAGCTCCCATCACAAGACTCGCGGGATGGACACACTGTGTGGACCTCGCGCCCCCTGTCACCTGTGACGGGGGTTCTCCACCACCTGAGCTCTGCTCCTCTGGCCAGCAAGCATCCCAGACGAGCCCACGCTGCAGAGCTAATGCCTGGGGAGGGTGGCCTGACCGACTACCGGGGTTACGTGGGGAGGTGCTGGGGCTTCTCAGGCCCCCACATTCTGGGGGACCCCCCACCTCAAGGGTCATTTGTGCTTCTCCTCAGCCCTGCCTTCCTCCTTTCTGTCAGCCCCCAATTTCCCATCTTGTGAACGCTGAAATTCAGAAGACTGGAAAATCCTACTCTTGCATTTGGGCAGAGGGATTGATAATGTGGAAGCACTGACTGTCCCCTTGCCTATGCAGAAACCAGATTAAAAAAAAAATCCGCTGCCTTTCAAAAATCCACAAAAGCCAACACTAAAGTAAACATCACAGGCAAGTTTCCAGGCCTTATTACCTTTTGAGGCTGAAATCTTCCAGGTCACATCCTTCCCAAAGGTGACATTTTTTGGAAGCTTTAATGAGATTAGCTCACCTATTTCTGAGTCTGGAAGTGCAGGTTAAGATTCAGTTTTGTAGCCTCACATTTTGCTAACTACACAGTGGAAATGAATTCAGGAAAGCTTTTAAAATTTCCTCTAAAATGTGCAGCTTGAAGGGGATCACAAATTTCAGAATCCTTGATAGAAACAGTGCTGTGGAGAAACCAAGCTCTGTTTTGACACCTGACTGTGACAGTGGCCAGGCAGCTATGAGCTTTGGGCTGGCCCACCTGCTACGCCACCTGGAGTCAGCCTCTAGAGGCTCGGACAGATGTGAAGGGCATCCGCGTGCCCCGTGGGAGGCATGCGGTGGCGGCAGGTTGGGAACATCACTTACCCCTAGTTAAGAAGAGTGAGGCATAACATCTGCCTGACGCCCTAGAAACAGCTGATTGGAGCCTTTCAGAGACTGCCAACCCCGGCCATCCAGAGAAGTGAGCTGGTTTCTCCCAACCGCCCAGCCAGGAGGTCAGGTCTGCAAAGGTGTGTCAGAGGAGGGAGGTGACCACCAATCCCCACCCAGGGCAGCCCCAAACCCGTCGGAGCTGCGGTGGGAGGCCATAACAGAGGTGCTTCACAAAGGCAAGTCTGGGGACCTCGGTGTGTCCTGGCACCTGAGCCAGGGCTCTCCACCACATTCAGTGTGACTTTGTCAACTTACTCACCATGTCACAAAGCTCCTAGAAAAGCACCCTTGTCCTGCACAACACGAAAATGCTCCAAGTCACATCGGTGAGCTGATCTCAACAGCACTGAGGCTCAGAGTGACCACCAAATAGCCTTGGGCATGGGGATGGGGCCCTGGGGTATGGGGATGGGGGCCCCTGGGGTATGGGGGTGGGGCCCTGGGGCATGGGGATGGGGGCCCTGGGGTATGGGGGTGGGGCCCTGGGGTATGGGAATGGGGCTCTGGGGCATGGGGGTGGGGCCCTGGGGCATGGGGATGGGGGTCTAGGGGCATGGGGATGGAGTCCCTGGGGCATGGGGATGGGGCCCTGGGACATGAGGATGTAGCCTCCTGGGCATGGGGAAAGGGCCCCCGAGGCTCTCAGCTTCTACTCAGAACACAGATGTTCAGGAAGAGCTCCTCCACTTACAACGAAGTGCTGAACCACCTTCCCATCTGTGGGCTTTCCTGGCCCCTCACCTGAGGTCCCAGGGCCACCAAGAACCCGAAATTTAAGATTCTAGCACTTCAAGAAGACAGGGCCCGAGCCAGACATGCGGACACTAGGAAGGAGAATCCAGACGAGAGACACAGGCTTGAAAGTGAGAGAGCACAGCAGCTATGGAGGTTGGGGGACAGGACTCTGCACTGCATACGGCTGCCCGCAGGAGAGAGCCCTGTCACCTGAGGGCCTGGGGATCCCAGTGCAGCAGGGGAAGGAACACAAAACTCCTCTGTCCCTGGGGAAGGGGCCCAGACCACAGCTGGGGAGAACACGAGGCCCCCGACCCAAGATGCAGGACCTTGGCAGCAAGAGGCCAGAGCCTTAGACAGCCTGGGGTGAGGGGCTGCCTCAGCACAGCCTGCAGACAGCACCTGCCCCCTCACCTCCTCTGGGAAGCCCACCAGCCCACAAAACCCTCCTGGTGACTTCCACCAAGTGCCACCCCATGCCATGGCACCCACCATTCTCTGCCACCCTTCAGAATACTGCAGTGGTAGTGTTTTGTGAGCTTGTGCCTCCAGCCATGGAAGTCTGGGTGACAGACACCCAGATGGCACCCTTTTAACCCAAAGGAAAAGTGCGTGGTTTAGTGATGAAGACTGATCTGGGCTGAGTGCTGGGTGAGCTCCAGGCCAGGCTGCAAATCCCACTGGACCATGTCAGGGATGGAAGAGGCAGGTAGCATGGGGACGCACAAGGGTGCAGGGGATCAGGGATGGCCCAGAGGGGTCCTGGGTGTGGCCAATGTGTTGGCCATCAGCCCTCAGGACCAAGCCTGGCTCAGCAGACCCCATGGCCATACAGTTCAGTGCACTCAGCCTCCCCATGAGGGCAGGTGGCCTTTTCACGATGGGACATCTCAGTGTGGCTCAGGATCATCCCAGACTACCCACTGGGCTCCACACCCCAGAGCAGAATGGGGACACACATGGGTGGGCCCCCAGGGTTCTGGGGTATCAGACGGAGGTTGGGAGGGAGCTCCGTGCAGATCTCTCATACACAGAGCAGGCTCTCCGAGCCCAGTAGTGGTCAGAGGTTCTGGAATTCCTGCTCCATGAGGAAAATGGAGGCCAGTGTGGGAGCCCTTGAGAGGGGTCAGTCGGCGAGGTGCCCAGCTGCAGAATGCACTGGGCAGAGCTGCCTACAGGCCCCTGATCTTTCCTCATGATGGGCTCTCTGGAGGAAGTTGGGGTTGAAGGCAGGCTAAGTCCTCAGGAAAACCCCCCTCCTCCTCCCGGGGGTCTGGAAAAGGCCAGCAACGCGCAGTGGCCAAGCCACACCTCAGACACATCTGATTAATGTGCAGTCTGGGCCTTGCCATAATCGTCTCAGGGAAAACTGTCCCCACCAGTGCGGGAGCTGGGACAGACCTGGGATCACATCGCCTGAGGGCCTCCGCCCTGGCCAGCTGTCCTCACGGCAGCCCAGAATGTTTTGTGCAGCAACATGAGGATGTGCAGAAACTGACCCCCAAAGCCTTTGGGTAGAGAGCATGGACTCTGCTGTTGGCCACAGCCCCCACCACCCCCTAGTGTCCAGACCTGCCCCTTTTACACATTTTTCTTACCCACTCCCAAAGTCATGTAGTAAGTCATGATTTGGTAAGAAGTTCAAACTTAGTTCAGGATGATGACAGCAGTCACGGGCCCAGAAATAGGATGGTGACAGCCACATTTCTTTACCAGGAACTGGGCCAGGACACGTGGAGAATAAGGCTTGGCTGGGAGCATCAGATGTTGGAGAGCACCCACCCCCAGCTACTGCGAGGGTCTGGGACACCAGGGCCCCCTGGTGCAGAGGGGCTGGCTGCGGTCACAGCATGCTCAGGACAGACAAAGCAGCGACACAGAAGGATGGCCACCCAACACTTACATGGGCTAACAGGGGAACCAGCTCAGCCCTGGTCCTGCTTCCTCACAAAGCAGATCTGCCTGGTCCTCTGAAGCCCTGAGGCTGTGGGGAAGCTGAGCAGGGGAGGCCCAGCCCGACACTTCCCCAGAGACCTCTGGCTCATCTGCATTCCGTGCCCGCTGCAAGACAGGAGGTACAAACTGGCCCAGCCCAGTAAAGTGGGGTGGGACTCAAGTGAGACCGAAGTGGGCCCAGGCGACACCACGCTGAGCACGCATGGACAGATGGGAGTCCTACCTTGGAAGAAGCTCTTCACCCTGAGGTAGCTGACGCTGAGACGCAGGACAGAAAGCTTGTCCAGCTTAGACACGATGTCAGGAGGAAGCGGAAGCAGGCTGGCCAGGTGGTCCAGCTCGGCATTGAGGCGGTCCCGGTGCCGCTTGGAAGGGTTCGACTTCTCAGCCCCCGTGGCCGGCCTCCTGCGGGGAAGCAACCACCATGAGACTTGGGGTTCCCCGCCAGGGGCTGTCACCCCATGGGCACAAACCTGTCCCCAGAAGTGACCTTATGGTGCAGATCAGCTTCTAAATGGGAAAAGGTTCTGAGAAGGCTCCCGATACTGTGCGCACAGGAAGCTGGGGTCCGTTACCAGAAGGGCGCTCAGAGACAGAGAGCAGGCCTCGTTGGACACAGCTGCAGGCATGCTATGTGGCTCCAGTACATTTCTTGACCTCTCTGTGCTAACTTTCCCCCAAGTGTGAGGAGGACCCTTGGCCCCAGGCTGCATGTGCTCAGCCTCTTTCGGCTTTTTTTAAACATATGACCTTTTCAGGACCTGGAGTCCAGGTACGACTGATGTCTCTGGGCCTCAGTTTCTCTACACAGCGGGGCTGGAAGGGGCTGTGGAGAGGGTAATAGAGGACACTTGGGCACCCGGGCACTGTCCCACCTGCCCCTCCAGGGCCCTCAAGTCGTGGGCTGTGCCTCTGCGAGGTGGCTGGTGCCCTGGGTTCCGCCTCCCCCGGTCCAGGGCTCTCCTGTCCACCGTCCCTGCAGAGGGCAGAGCTGACCTCCCTTATCTGACCCTCTTACCACCCCCATGACAGTCCCCCTCCTCGGACCCTATTCCCCCTCACAGAAACAGGCCCTTCCCACATCACCCACATGGAAGCATCTGAACCTAAAACGGCAGCCACGGTGGGTGCAGCAGCCGGCAGCGGGAGGGGCTGTGGGCGAGCACTGGACCCAGGTCTGGCTCCCAGGCCCAACCTCCCCTGGGGTCGTGGCGCCTGGGAGGCTGGAGGGCTCCTGCTTCTAGGGGCTGCGGTCTCTTTTGTGCAGGAGTCCCTATCTGCCCCTGTGGGCCCGAGGCCTAGCAACCGTCTGTCAGGAGGGGCAGACACACAAAACACAGAGAAGCCTGATGCTCCTTCCCAGAGGCCACTTCTTTGTTTGTTTGTTTCGAGGTGTAATTCACATAACACTAAGCATTTCAGGGTGTACATTCATCTCTATCAAGTTCCAAAACATGTCCTGATGAGACTGTAGTTTCTCATTCCTCCTCCAGCAGCGCCTGGTAACCACAGCTGCCTTCTGTCCCCACGGCCTCGCTTGTTCAGACATTTCACACGCGTGGGGTCATACAATGTGAGACGTTTCACATCTGGCTTCTTCACCAGCATCATGTTTTCAAGTATCTGTGGTGTAGCATTTGTCAGAACGCCATTCCTTCTTCTGGGTGAATCACTGTGTGGATGGACCACATTTGCTCACCTGTTCATCCGTCGATGGATGTTGTACGTGATGCTGTATAAGCCCAAGACTTTGTTCGCACCCCATTTTCAGTCCTTTCAGGTTCACGCACGGGAACGGGTGAGGGTCAGTGGCCCCTCCAGCTGGGTCACTGTGGTCCCTTCATCTAACCTTCGGAGAAGTTGCCAGATCAGCAGATACACCCGAAGACGTCATCACCAAGTAAGGGTTCGGTGCTCCACACCCTCATGGACACATTTGTTTCCTTTCTCTGTAGAACAGCCATTTTTGCAGGTGTGAAGTGGCATCTCACTGTGGTCTGATTTGTATCCCTTACTGACCGGTAATGGTGATGCCCTTTCCCATGCTTGTTGGCCATCTGTGCATCTTCTTTGGACAAATGTCTACCCCAGTCCTTTGTCCATTTTTTAATTGGGTTATTTGTCTTTTTAATGCTGAGTTATAGTTCTTTATATTCTAGATACAAGCCCTTTATCAGATACATAATTTGCAAATATTTCTCCTATATCTTTTCTTATCTTTTCACTCTGCTGTTTTTCTTCCTTAATGCGGCACATGGTCCCAAATCACTCATGCTGCTGGACACAATTTAAACCGGCAGGAGGCCTGGAAATAAACTGAGCAGCTCCAGTGTGGGCTGGTACCTGCTGTCCAGAGCAGAGCCCCCCCCACCCCCAAGTCGGTGAAAGACACCTGAGGCCTCCCCAAAGACAGAGTAGCACTCGGAGCAGGTGTGAGGGTCAGAGAAGGGGAGACAACGGGAGACCAGCAGATGGCCCCTGCTGAAACCTCACCCCTGTGCAGCTCACCTCAGCTGGAGGGAGCTGCCCACCTGTCTCCCCAGATAGCCTGTGCCTGAGAATGCGCTGAGCTGTGATCGCTCTCCCACCCTACCCTCATGCGACACCTGGGAGCGGGACACTAGGCTGCTGGGGATACAGGCTTTGGAAGAGCCCCTTTGAAGTCTCTCACAACACAGCTGCCCTTGATGCATCTCTACCACCCCGCTCCCCAGCCCCATGGGCCAGAGCAGAAACCACCCCACCCCACACCCACGGGCATGAGAAGGGATGGGGTTGAGGGGTCTCAGGCTCAGGCCCAGGGGCCCATGGACTGAGTTTCAAGTCCCTGGGTAGAGACTTAGCAGCAGGTGATGGGGTCCAAGGACCAGTGCCTTTAGCACAGGAATAGTGCAAGACGAGCCACAGCTGGCTCCGACGGAAGAAAGCCCTGTGGCACCAGAAGCATAAAACACGTGGAGCACACCTGGCAATGCTCCCTTTAAACTGATCTATAGATTCCATGTAATCACAATTAAAACTCCAACAATGCTTTTTATAGAAATGTACACACTGATTCTAAAATTTACATGGAGATGCAAAGGACCAAGAATAACCAATTAAAGAAGAACAAAATCAGGAGACTTATCCTTTTGATTTTTAAGCCTTCCCTAAATCTACAATGTTCAAGATGGTTTGGTATCACAGAAAAGATAGAAATATAGAACAATGGAACAGAATAGGGAGTCTAGAAATAAACCCACGTATTTCTGGACAATCCATTTGATAAAGATATGGTAGTTCAATAAGGGAAAGAAAATCCTTTCATTAAAGGGGCTGGTCAACTGGATACCCATGAAAACAGGTGAGCACCAACCCTCACTTCACACAATCCCCCCAAATTAACTCAAAGTGGATCACAGACCTGAATCTATAGCCTATTATAAAACTTTACAAGAAAATACATAAGAAAATCTTTGAGACCTTGGGATAGTCCCAGGACTCTTAGAAAACACACACACATACACACACACACACACACACAGAAAATCATAAAAGAAAAAAATAGATAAACTGATCTTCATCAATATTTTTTAAATGTCTTTTGAAAATCACCATTAAAAAAATGAAAGGGGGTGCCTGACTGGCTTTGTCAGTGGAGCGTATGACTCTTGATTTCGGGATCATGAGCTCGAGCCCCATATTAGGCATAGAGATTATTTTTATTTACTTGTTTGTTTATAATGTTTATTCACTTTTTAGAGACAGGGCATGAGTGGAGAAGGGGCAGAGAGAGAGGGAGACACAGAATCTGAAGCAGCTCCAGGCTCTGAGCTGTCAGCACAGAGCCCAACACGGGGCCTGAACTCACAGATCACCAGATCATGTCTAAGCCTATGTCAGATGCTCAACTGACTGAGCCACCCAGGTGCCTCTAGATTACTTTTTAAAAAAAAAGAAAATGAAATGAAAAGGTAAGCCATAGATTGGAGGGAAATGTCCACAAAAACTTGTATCCAAAATATGTAAAGAAGTTTTAAAATTCAATAAGAAGACAGCAAAGATAGGTAGATGGCAAACAAGCAAATGAACAGACGCCCAGCGCCCATTGGGAAAGAGACAGATTAAAGCCGTGGTGAGGTTGCATTGCCGCCTGTCTGAGAACTGGAGACAAGGCAGAGGGCCAGCGCCTCTGTGCGCTGCTCCTGGGAGTGTAAGCCAGTACAGCTGCTTTGGAAAACAGCTTGGTGGGTTTCTTTTTTTTTTTTTTAATGTTTTATTTATTTCTAGGAGAGAGAGAGAGACACAGCGTGAGCAGGGGAGGGTCAGAGAGAGAGGGAGTCACAGACTCTGAAATAGGCTCCAGGCTCTGAGCTGGCAGTCAGCACAGAGCCCGACGCGGGGCTCGAACCCACGAACCGCGAGATCATGACCTAAGCGAAAGTCGGACGCTTAACCGACTAAGCCACCCAGGCGCCCCAGCTTGGTGGGTTTCTAAAAGTTAACACAAGTCTGCCGTATGAGTCAAAAATCCCACTCCTAGGTATTTACCCAAGAGAAATGACTTGTGTGTAAACATTCATGGCAGCTTTACCTGCAATGGCCCAAACCTGGGAACCACCTGAAAGTCCTTCTGCAGGTGAATAAACAAACAGGTGCGTCCAGACCCGGGAGCACTACTCAGTAGCAAACAGCAGCACTCTAGGTGCACACAAACTGTGGATCAGGCTGAAGGAAAGAAGCCCAACAAAATGGTGTGATTCCATTTACAGAAAATTCCAGAAACGCTAAGCAGGCTACAGGACAGAGCATGTCAGGGCTGCCTGAATGCAGGTGAAGGCAGGGATGGCAAGCACACAGGACACTCTGGGTATGATCTGAGTGTCAGTAACCTTGATTTTGGTGATGTTCCATGGTGCATACACATGTCAAAGCCGACCAGGCTGCACCTTTAAACACGTGCAGTTCCATATCCTTCAGTTACAGCCCCAAAAATACAAGTGACAAACACCCCAGGAGCTCACAGGGCCATTCCTTACTCAACACGGCAGTGTATTCACCAGAATGAACCCTGACCAGCACACACAAGCAGGACTCAGCCCCACCACCGCCCCGCCCTGGACCCAGTCATGGGGACACTCAGCTGCCTCCTGCCTCACCCTTTACCTGCAGAGCCAGGGAGGCCCACGTGGCCACACAACCAACTCAGATGATAAACTCACTTTTCAAAGTCCAGCCTCTTAAGCCTTTGCTGCCTACCCTCGGGCGGTGGTGGCTGCACTCCTGCGGACCTCTCACAGAACCCTGCGGCCGCCAGGGCCCAGGCGGGCAGTCTGGGTCACAGGAACACGGGCCCCAACACAGAGCCTTATACACACATGCTCACACTCGAACAGAACCATATTACACACACAGACACACCAGAAACCCAGCCAACAGTGCATGTGCTGCAGGACCCCCTTGGAGGAGCCAGAGGTGGCCCCTGGGCTCTGGGAACTGCACGCTGCTGGCCTCACAGCAGGCAGCTCCATGCCCGTTACCCCGCCACCACGGCAGGATCCACACCTTGCAGGCTTGAGTGCCACTGGGCCAGTAGCGGCCACAGGTAGGGCCACAGGTTCCTTTCTCTCCTCTGTAAACCTCCTGGAAGCCCACAGGCAGGCAGATAAGCCCCGCATGGTGTCCTTCATGTGTGGCAACACTCGTATAGGGGCTGTGGGTGTGTCCTCGTGAGGAGAGGTTTCACCAGGGCAGAGAGGAGATCTGGTCCCCACCAAAACCTATGGTGACATCTCAGACCCCTGTGCTGGCTTCTAGCCAAGAGGAGTCACTCAGCTGCCGCCTTGCAGTCAAAGTTAGGAAAGCAGCCCAAAGTCGCTAAGAAAGGCAACCAAGGGTTTCCAGGTGCACAGGGAACCCGCGACACACCCGCCAGCCCCAGGCACTGGGTCTCATGCTTTTCTGCAGCCCCTCCACTCCTCAGAAAGACGCAGCAAAACCTCTCCCTCATCCACTTTATTCCTAAAAGTCACTCCTTTCAATGAAAACGCAAATACCTCCCCCCTTCATCAGGAACAATCAGCAAAACCAGAAGATGTGATACTTTACTGTTTCTGAATGGGCTTCCTTCTTTTCCTTCCAGCATACATGCACTCCCCTGGTGGAATCATCATTTGTGGCCCTAAAAAAGGGGGGGAGCATAAAGTTCATTATGTTAAAGAGAGGCTGGCGCCCACACGACTCCCCAACCACCAAAGGCAGCAGCATCAGCCAAGGTCGGCCGCGTCTCTAATCAAGGAGCCAACACTGACCCCATACTGGGGCCCCACTCCTCATCGCCAACTGAACAAGATGACCCAAGGCACTTCTGGCACAAAGTCTGCCAATGGGAGCCACTCACACCCCATTTCCCTCAACAGGAAGATGCTGAAGGGTCAGGTGAGGTCACACAACCTTGACCATGACATCTCCCTTTTGACCAGCAGTGTCATGGTCCCCCAGCCTGCCCTGAGGATCTGAGTCACTATTCTCATACAGAGACTAGCTCATAAAGCTTACAGTAATTAAACATTCTGAGCCTGTCCACAGAAAATAGCTGTTTAGCATCCATGAGCAGGATACGGCCAAGGTTCTAAGGAACAGTTTGCTGTGTCAGGGCTTTGATGGGGCTGTTTCTCTCACAGGAGCTGTATGCATCCTCTCTTGGTGGTGTTTGTGGTAGTCTTCTTCCTCTTCCCATCCCTCCTCTTTATAGCCCTATACTTCTGAGCCAACAGGCTTCCTCTTTTGTATGTAAGATCTCGCACTCAACTCCAAAGCACGGGACTTCCACTTTAGGCACTGACTCACAGCTGCACCAAGCCCAGCTGCACATACCCATTGGCTTCCACCAGCAGTACTGGACATGGTGCCTGTATCTGAGAGTAGGTCCTTAAGGAGTAGTCCGAGACTTGTGCCCTGACTCTGACCAGCTCACCCATCATCTTAAGGAGGGCATCAAAATCTTGATTCTTCCATGCAGTGAGGCTATCTGGAGCCTCACAAACATCCTGTGCAGTGACCACTCATTGCTAGGCACTGGGCCAATAGACTTAGAGAGAGGGTTAGGAGCCCTCGCCTGGCTTCAAGAAGAGGTAGACCCAACACACAATGTTCATTCTGTGTGTGAAGTGCCTTGAGAACGTCAGAAATGTGTAACAAATGTGCTTTAAATTAAGAAACACATTTTGAATATAAAGATATAAGTAGGTAAAGTAAGTGGATAGGAAAAGATATGCCATGGAAATAGCCATCAAAAGAAACTGGGATAGTTATGTGACTAAGACAAAGATATAACCAGGGACAAGGAGAGATATGCCATGAAGACATAGCAATCCTACATGTGTATGCATCTGCAAAATACAGGGAGTAAAAATTAATAAAACTGAACAGATAATTAATCAGAGACTTCAACACTCTTATTTCAGTAATCAATACAATAAGTAAGCCGAAAATCAGAAAGGATTTAGAATACCCAAACAGTAATAGACTTGAATTACAGAACTCTCCAGCCAACAACAGCAGAGTGTGCATTCTGTGCAGATGAAACATTCACCAACATAGACCAAATTCTGGGACTTAGACCAGTCTTGAACAAATTTAAAAGCATAGAAATCATACAAAGTATGTTCTGTGATAATAATGGGATTAAATTAGAAAGATATATGGAAAATTCCCAGATATTTGGAAAGCAACATGCTTCTAAATATCTATGGGTCAAAGAGAGGGTGTCAAAGAAATTTAAAGTATTTTGAACTGAATTAAAATGAAAACACAACAGACCAGATTTTGTGGACATGGCTGAGCAATACTTTAATGAAAACTGACAGAACTAAGCATTTATATTAGAAAAAAATAAAAGATCTCAAAAAATCTAAGCTTCTACATCAGGTAACTAGAAAAAGAGCAAATAAATCCAAATCAAGCAGAAAGACAGCAATAATAAAGAAGAAAAATCAACTAAACTTAAATAGAAGAGAAAAATTGATGAAATCAAAAGTTGGTTCTTTGAAAAGATCAACAAAATTGATAAACCTCTAACCAGATTAGTCAAGAGGTAGAGAAGACACAAATGACCAAAATCAGGAATGAAAGAGGGGTCATCACTACAGATCCCACAGACGTTAGAAAGAAAATAAGAGTATATGACTAGGAACTTACTTGTGTCCCCCAAATCCATATGTTGGAGCCTCAATCCTCCACTGGAGGGAGTGCCTTTAAGGAAGTGAGTAAGGTTAAATGAGGTCATAAAAGTGAAGACCTGACTTGTTAGAACTGCTGCCCTTATAAGAGAGGAAGAGACACCAGGGGTCTCTCTCTTCATTATGTGTACAGAGTCATTGCAAACCAAGAAGAAAGTTCTCACTGGAAATCAAATCTGCAGCGTTGGGAAGGTCACAGAAAAGACGTGACTGCCAGCTGAACTGTGAGGTGGACCCAGGTACTAGGAAGGTCCTCATCCCCTTCCCTGTCCTTGGATGTGGGTTCCACTCATCTTTTCTACTCCCAGAGGCTGGTCCAAGGACACAGCCTTGAGATGGGGATGTGGCGTGAGAACACATGCATAGTATACATGGCTGAGCCCAGTTACGGCCTCTTTATAAGCTTATAAGCTATGACCAGCAGGCATGGGATCCACTCATCTTTCTGCCATCTGAGACATGCTTTCATATGTAAGTTCCCTTTGCTTATTAAAACCACCACCTACCAACATGGAGTGGCCGCCTCTTTCTTGGTCCCTCCCTACCCTCCACAAACAGGGGCTAGTTTCAGGACATACCTGGGAAGCTCCTGAGGAGTTTGCAAATCCAGTAAGCAGGCACCTGGATCCTGGGCTTCCAGCATCCAGAACTATGAGAAGTAAATGTGTGTGGTTTAAGTCACCTAGTCTGTGCATTTCATTATGGCGGCCTGAGCAGACTGAGACAGATACTATCCCCACAAATCCAACAATTTAGATAGAACAGAACAGTTCATTGAAAAATGCAATCTAACAAAACTCAGTCAAGAAAATAACTGTTTGGTCTGGTCCTACCTTTTTTCCAACAATAAAAAATATAAACAAAAACAAATAAGCACATAAACAACAACAATAACCAAAAACACCTAGGCCCAGGTGTTCTTGAATTCTACCAGTTTAAGAAAAAAGTAATAATACCAATTCTCTGCAACCTCTGGAAGAATATTTAAATTAAAATTAAAAACTGCAAACTCATTTATAAGTTCAGCATTACCCTGATACAAAAACCAAAGACATTTCAAGAAAACTACAGACTGATATCCCGCATGAACATAGACACAAAAATCCTCAATCAGATATTAGCAAATGGAATCCAGCAATACAAATAGGGCAAAACAAGTGAGCTTTGTTCAAGAATTCAAGGCTGCTTCAACATCCAAAAATTGATCATTGCAATTCACTACATTAATAAACTAAAGAAAAAAAACATATGACCATCTTATACATGCAAAAAGGTATGTAACAAAATCCAAATCCATTCATAATAATGAAACACTCTCATTGAGCTAGGAATAGAAGAGAACTTAACTACTCTGATAAAGGGCATCTACAGAAATGGCTACACCAGCGTTACAACCCACAGAGGGAAACTGAGCTTATCCTCTGAGGTCACAAGCAAGGCCCCTCACTTCCTTTCCTACTCTGTACCACATGCGTGTCCTAGTCAGGGCAATAAGGTAAGAAAAAGCAATGTCAGAACACTGGGAAAGGAAAAGACAGAACTCTATTCCCGGACAAATTCTAAAAAGTTTACTAAGATAAATCTCTTATCATAATTGAATTCAGCAAGGTCAAAGGGTAAAAGGACAATATACAAAAGTTAAATGTGTTTTTGTAGACGAGCAATGAACAATCAGAACACAGATTTTTAAAAAGGTGTACCATCGGGGTGCCTGGGTGGCTCAGTCAGTTGGGTGGCTAACTTCGGCTCAGGTCATGATCTCACAGGTCGTGGGTTCGAGCCCCACGTCGGGCTCTGTGCTGACAGCTCGGAGCCTGGAGCCTGTTTCGAATTCTGTGTCTCCCTCTCTCTCTGACCCTCCCCTTCTCACAGGGTCTCTCTCTCAGAAATAAATAAAATGTTAAAAAAAAATTTTTTTTAACTGTACCATTTACAAAAGCACCAAAATAAAAATGAAATACTTAGCTATTTCAAGAAGTTCACTATGTGTATAACTAGGGCTCTAAAGAGCAGGAGGTTGCAGAAGGTGACAGAAAGAAATTTAATAAATAGTAGAAATTTGTCCAAACATAATGTAAACTTACAGATTTTAGAAGCTCAATAAGCTCCAAGCACAAAAACATTAAAAACATTTCAGCAAGGCCAATCCTAATCAAATTTCTCATAACCAGTGATATATAGAACAAGCTTAAAAGCCACCAGAGAAAATAGCCGTCGGGTACAGAGAAACAAAGGTAAGCATGAAGCAGGTGCCTCATCAGAAAAGTGCAGAGACAGCGGAGCTACTATATCTTTAAGGCACGGAAAGAAAAAACTTGAAACTTAGAATTCCACACCCTTTGAACATAGCTTTCAAAACTGAAGGCTAGAGACTTTTTAGACATTCAAAAGCTGAAAGAATTCATTGCCAGCTGACCCACACTATAAGAAATGTGAAAGGGTGTCTTCAGGCCAAAGGAAAATGATACCAGATGGTAACATGGGTCTACAAAATGGGACCGGAGGCACAGGAAACGGGGACTGCTGGGTACCAAACCAAGGTTTGTTCTTACTACTTAAATGTCTTTAAAAGATAATTGTTTAAACAACAATGATAATAATGTATCATGGGGTTTATAACATAGGTAGCTGTCAGGGCCACTGGAGCGCCTTGGCCAGGAGGGGTAGGTAGAGGGCCCTGGGGACGGTCCCTATACCGTTGTTCCCTAAGTGGTATTCTCATACTCAAAGGTTGTGCCAGGGCTCCATTTATACCTCCATGCTCCAAGTCCACCCCTCCTTGCTCGTTCTGCGTGCATGGCAGACCCTGCAAGCATTGCTTCTCTGTAGTAGCGCAGCATGGCGCTTGCCCGCAGAGGCCCCGCAGGGACTTTGCGGGAATAAGGGGCTTCTAGTCCCAGGCTTCAGCTTTTTCTTTGTTTCCGTTCACCACCACCAGAGGCGGAGAAACTCAGTGACCTTCGTCACCATCCAGGGGGCTGACCTATACCCTCTCCGCAGCTGAGGGACCATGTCCAAGTGCACATTTGTAGCACACTCTGCCAGCCTGGAGTTCCCTTCAGAGTCCTCTTTTCACCCTTACAGCACTCTCCTGCTGTAGATAATTCCTCCTCAAACAAAAACTTAAGTTAAAAACACAAAAGCTGATTTTTAAAAGTCACACACTAAAAACATGACTTGTTAGGGATTTGCTTCTGTGTAATCTGGGAGTCTAAGTGAAACTGGATCATTTGATACTGATAGCTGCCCATCTGTGCTGGCTGATGAATAAGTTGGGCTCATCATAAAATTCTCATCCCTTTTGTTAAAGATTTGAAATCCTCCATAAGAAAAAGTTTTTTTAAAAAGCATTAAAAAGAGGAGAAATGTGGCAAAATAAGAACAGACGATCTATAGTGCCAAGGCCATACAACGGGGAAAGAAGAATGTCTTCAACAAATGGGTAAACGAAGTACCCACATGCAAGAGAATGAAGCTGTTGCCTGCCTCCCACCATAGGAAAAAATTAACCAAAATTAGTTAAGACCTAAGTGTAAGAGCTAAAATTATAAAATTCTCAAGGATAACATGGGGCTCTATCTTCATGACCTTGAATTTGGCAACAGATTCTTAGATACGTCACCAAAGGCACAAATAAAAAAGCTAAGAAAATGCATTGGACTCCATCAAAATTAAAAACCTGTGTCTCAGAGGACACCATCAAGATAGCAAAAAGACAACCCACAGAATGGAAGAAAGTATTTGCAAATTATGCATCTGATAAGTCTACTATTCAGGACATATAAAGAATTCTTACAACTTAACAACAACAAAAAGACAAACGGTCCAATTAAAAATGCGCAAAGGACTTGAACAGAAATTTCTCCAAAGAAAATATACAAATGGTCAACAAACACATGAAAAGATGCTCAACATCATTAGTCACTAGGAAAATGTAATCAAACCCACAACGAGGTAGCATTTCACTCCCCCACGAGGATGGCTCCCAACAAAACCAGCCGCAAGCGTTGGTGAGGACGTGGAGTCACTGGGAGCTGTGGCTGCTCTTGTCAGTGGAAGACGGTGCAGCTGCTGTGGGACACAGAACGGCAGTTCCTCAGACTCAGAGTTACCACACTCCCCAGCAAACTGCACTCCTAGGTATAAATTCAGGAGAACTGAAACATACATTCAAACAAAATCTGGCACACAAACACTCCTAGCTTCATTCTTCACAAATAGCCAAAAAGTGTAAACAACCCGAAAGCCTACCAACTGACGAACGGTTAAACAACGCGTGGCCTACGCACACAGTGGAATATTACTCAGCCATGTAAGGGAACGGGGTTCTGACGCACGCTACCACACAAATGAGCCTTGAAGATACATGAAAGCAGACACGGAAAGTCATGTATTGGTTCCATATGTATGAAATGTCCAGAGCAGACAAATCCATAGACAGAAAGTAGATCAGCGGTTGCCAGGGCTGGGGAGGAAGGAATGGGGAATGACTGTTTAATGCGTGCAGAGTGTACATTTGGGTGAAGAAAATGTTTTGGAAGTAGACAGAGGTGGTAGGTGCCCAACTTTGGCGATATACTAAATAAACACACGGAACAATACATTTTTAAATGGTTACTTTTAGGTTATGTGAATTTTACCTCAATGAAAAGCACAACACAAATTTATATGTAAATACAAGTGAAGTTTTCAGAGTGGTGAGAAAGAAACAGTAGGGAGAAGTGGATGGAGCACCCTGAAACCGTCTGAGGACGCCGTGCACAGAGGGAGAGACAATGGGCGACGGCTGCAGAGGCCTGGGGGGCAGATGTGTGTTTCTGAGCTGCCAGGGATTATGTGGGTGAGACAGGAGGGTTCTGGGGGTGTAGGGATGTAGCCCGGGGGCCACGGGCCGGAGCAGGAATAGAGAGGCATGGATGCTTGGGCCTTCTGAGCCCCCCTGTGCCGTGGCCACCATGCCTGCACTTCTCTGGGAAACCAGGCCGGGCCCTCAGTGGCTGGAGGCCAGAATGCAAGGTCATCACCCCAGGTCTGGCCCCAGGCTAGGGGGACAATAGGCCAGGGGTGTTCCTTGCATCCCAAGAGGGGCCAAGCACTCAGCAGCCCACGCAGCCCCCCATGAAGTCAAAGGTGAAGGAGACCCCATCCCCAGCACCACCATTCCCCAGATGAGCCCCAAGCCAGGAGCAGGGATGGTGTGGGCGTAGAGAAGATGACAGAGAAGATGAGGAAAGGGCCAGGGACACTCCTACAGGGGGTGGCACAGACCCCTCATTATCCTTCACCCAAAGCCCTCTTCCACAAAGCAGGCCCCAGGCCCCAGGCATGCATGTTCCCCAGCCTCGCACACTGCCCGCCCGCCCCACAAAGCCCTCCGTGTCTCCATCTCAGCATTCAGAACGGCTCTAAAAACACGGGTTATGGCAAAAAGCAGCAAGGGCAGATAAATACTCTCCCAGCGCCCCCCCATTGGGGTTTGTGTGGAAGAAATCAAAGGAGTCAGCCTCCTTACATCCCCCCACCCCCACCACAGACCTTGCTGGAAAAACCACAGCTTGGGGTTCCGTCTGTGCTGAGGTTTCTGCCCTAGGAACCCTATACCTAGGAAGTGGACAGTATGACAGTAAGCTGCTCCATTTTACTAAATACTGTGCCCTCTCCTCAAAAAGATGAAGCCTCTATCGGATTGGACCAAACTCCTTGAAGGAATGCCCCTCTGAGGCAAGACACCAGTCTCTGACTCAGATGCAGATGCCTTATCAGTAAAGCGGGGCGGGGGGAGACCTCCATACTGGGCTCCTTGTGGTCTGCGGTTGGCTTGGACCAGGGTCTCCCCAGCAACCACGGTGATTGCTGGGGTGGGAGGCGGACAGGGGCCTGGGCACCACAGGGGAACACGCAGGTGTGAGCCCATCTGGGTGGTTTGTGGGCCTTCCTTCCCCGCTGAGCTCTGAGCGGACAGCTTTTATGAGGCTCTTTCTCTTATGGTAACAGTAACGGCTGTCCAAAAATCAAACACCCTCCCCATCATTTCTGTCTGGGAGTGTGTCCCCAAGCCATCTTCCCACAGACATGCACCGCTGTGGAACCACACCAGGAGGTCTGAGTCCAAACTCCAGCAGTTACCGGCTAGGTCTCTATCCATAAACAAGGTGAGTGCCAGCCCCAGGCCCCTGCAGGGGTGCCACCGATGACACGGCTTCCCATGTCGGGGCTGCTCTGCCTGCTGGCCCCTCACCAGGAGTGGGGACAGTCTGCACGTCACCACAGGGCCTCCCCCTAACGCTGGGTGCTAAGATCGCCCAGGGCTCCCACTCAGGAGCCTGAAGCCAGACACGATCCCTAGTGGCGGACGCTGGGTAGAAGCTGTTCAGGCTTAGGGGCCGGCCTCTACCAGAGGCTGCCTGAAGAGGCCAAGTCAGGTGGCTGACCAGGCCGAGAAAAGGCCAAGTACACAAGCGTCAAGGATCCAGAGCCTGGGGACAGATGTCCGGGCACACACGTGCGCACCCCCTTTTGCGCCAGGCCCCTCAAGGACGAGCCGTAGCTGGTCAAACCGAGGCCACGTGTCAGTCACCGGGGCTTCCCTACCCGCGTGAGACGCTCGGGGCAGCCGAAACTGAAGGCCCACTGGACGGTCCCACGGGGGGGGGGGGGGGGCGCCTCCGGACCCAGACCCGGGAATCAGGGCCGAGGAAGGGCCCAAGAACAGAGCTGCCCGAGGCCTCGGGCTTCTGACCCTGACCAGCCCCCGGCCCCTGTGGGCGACCCCCTCCCCAGTGGGAGTCACAGTGGGGGCACTCGCGCTGGCAGGTCCCCGATGGTCTGTGCTGCTCACAGTGGATCCACAGTCTGGGATTTTTGACCACTCGAACTAAGACTTTTGGGGAAAAAACTTTCTTGGTGCCACTAACTGAAAGCGAGCGAATTCCCGGACCGCGGGCCCTTCCGCCCTTCCCAAGCGTGAGCACCAGCGCGGGTGCTCCGGCAGGAAGGGGCGCGCCGAGCCGCGCCGCCCCAGCCCCGGGGACCCCCTCGGGCCCTCCTCCACCCGCTGCCCCGGGAGGGCTCAGGGGGCCGGGGCAAAGCCCCCTGCCAGCATCTGCCCAAAGAAGCTACTGAAAGAAAATGGACCAAGAGCAAAGGGCAATTAATCCGGCTGCCCCAAGGCGGGGGGTCACGGCTCGCAGGGGACGGGGAGACCGAGGGGCCGTGAGCGGGGGACGAGGGCCGGCCTCCCTCCGAAGTCCCGTCTGTACTTTTAGTTAAGAAGTGACCCGGCGGCCCCCGGGGCCTGCAGATGCGAGGGCGCGGCGGCGGAGGGCGCCGCGCGGGGGTCGGACGGCGGCGCAGGGGCCCGGGGCGCCGCGCACACTTACCGCGGCCGGCGGGGCGCGGCGGCTCAGGCGCACCCGCGGGAGGAGCCCGCCCGGCCCGGAGCTCTGGTGGCGCGGCCGCCGGCGCTCGCACGTCGCGGACCGGCGGCAGCTGCGGCCGCGGAAGGCCGGCCCCACCCCGGCACGCGCGCCCGCCCCGCCCCGGGGCCCCGCGAACCCGGGAGGCGGCAGGGGGCGCGCGCGCGGATCCCCGCCCCGGCCGCGCCGCCCTCCGCGGTCCGCGTGCGCTACGGCGCCGTCGTGCCCTGCGCCCGTCGCGTCCCCGAGGTCTCTCCAAGAGTCTGTCGGCTCGGGGCGTCCCGTGCCCCTCGAGACCCCTGTACTCCCCGCTGGAACCCCAGACGCCTGATTCATCGCCTCCAGTCACGCGGCCCTACGCACCTGCGCCCTCGGAGGCAGAGCCGGTCCCTGCCTGGGGTGCAGAGAAGTGGGGCCCAGGGCCCCCCGCCTTCCCCTCTCCTCTCCTGCGGCCTGGATCCTGCCTGCCCCAACGGGGTTACTGCGACGACTGTAAAGGACTAAAACGTTTTATAAACTATAGTGGCGCCTGGGTGGCTCAGTGGGTTGTGTGTGGGGCTCCTGATTGCAGCTCAGGTCACCTTCCCATAGTTGGGGACTCCGCGCTGACTGGATTCTTTCCCTCTCTCTCTCCCTCTCAGAATCAGTAAACTTTTTTTAAAGTCTCACAAACTATAAAATATGTATATAATACTTTCACCCTGAACTTCCCAGGAACAGCCGGGTCGTTGGTGCGGTGCCCCAGCCCAGGACCTCTCAGGGCCCGCCAGGCTGGTGGGCGGCTGCAGGCGCCCGTCTCCCCTCGCCCTCTCCTCCCTGGACCTCAGGGGGCTGCTCCTTCTCCTCCTCCGCACTGAAGGCCTCTGGGCCCCTCCCCTGCTCCATCAGGCGTCCTGACTTTGAACCACCCAGACACCCCCTTGAGCCTGGCCTCACATTCTGAGGTCTCTGCTCAGTGTCTGAGGGGCCCCAGAGACCCCAGTGCACTCCCATGACACTGTCCTCACCTGGTCCGCCGTGGGACCGCCCTACCCCCCTCCCAAGCCTAGTCCCTGGGTGGCCTCCGGGGCGCACCCCTCATCCAAGCCCCACCAAGCATCCCCACAGCTAGCCCTGTAGTGGCTCCCATGCCCATCCCCACAGTTGCAGCCAAAGGTATTGCAACTGCCAGGCCCCTTCCAGGCTCTGAGCAAAATCCCATCTCCCCAGAAGCCCCCAACGTCCTTCCCTTCCTAGACCCGCTGCTGTGCTCTGAGTGAGCAAGCACGTGTGCCTCAGTACCTGTGCACTCACTGTCCCTTCGCAGAAATGCTCTTCTCCAGACACCCCCCTGTCCCTGTGTCCTCAGAGAGAAGACCCACTCCAAACCAAGGCCACCAGTGTCCATCTCCTCTCCCTGCTCTGTCTTTGCACCTGAAGTTACAACAGGTAACAGGTAAATTTCCCAAGTCTGTTCACCTCCATTCAGGAAAAGCACAGCACCTACCGCAGAGCACAGGCTTAAAAATGTTGGCTGAGCAAATGATTTCATATTATTTTTGACATGAAGCAACTTGCAGCTATATTGCAATATATCGTATTTTTAAGTAGCTAAAAGCATAAGTTGCATGTTGATCCAGCTTTTTTAACATGCATTATGCATAGAGAAAATTGAGGTTACAGGTGAACTTTTATTTCTTTTTACTTTTTAAAATGTCTACAATTCGTGAACATTTTAGCAGGAACATGTAGCACTTTTGTATATATATATTTGGTTGTACTTAAATAAGTAAGCATGTGTATGATTTCCGGGCAGGGGGAGGGCACATCTTGGCAGAAGTCAGGTGGGTCCAGGCCTATGGTGGGATTCCCTCCCAGGTTTGGAGCTTTGCAGTGAGAGCCGGCATTACCGTGCGTGGGAAGACAGCGCCTCCACACCTCGGGGACTCCCTTCTGGCCTCACTGGTGAGGCTCCATGAGGAACGGCAGGAACGAGACACCTCACTGCTACCTCCCAGGACAGGGCCAGTGCTGCTGATGCTGCACGGCCCCCGGCGTAGAGGAGAGCCAATGTCCAGCTCCCCTTCCTCCCCCGAGACTGCCCTTGATGGGCATAAGCCACCTACTCCCAAGCAGTCCACGCTTGTGAAGAGCACACAGCAAAGACCCTCCAGGCTCTGCTAGTGACCTTGCCTGCACAACTGGCCTCCCCCTAGGCTTCGCTGGTGCGTTTCCTCTGACTGGAAGGCTCTTCCCAGCTCGTCTTGGCCTGGCCTCACTTCCCTCTAGAAGGCAGACGCCACCCCGTGTCCCTCACCACCTGGCACTGGGGATTTGGGGGAGGGTGCAGGAACTTCCATCCGCCTTGTACCTGGCTGCCGCCCCACAGCTGAGAACCACCCACTATGGGGGCAGAAAAGAGGAGGGAGGAGGGGGAGGGCCAATTTACCACAGTTTATTTCCTGACATATTTACTGTAATTTATTTCCTCTCTTGTACAGTCTCTCCCCACTCCCAACCCCCCACCCCCAACTAAACATGACTCATTTGCTTGGTTTTCTTTGAAACAACTGCTGCCCTCCACATCCTCGGGCAGCTCTGCAAACGAGCCTTCCGCAGAGTCCCACACGTCAAGTCACCCTCCACGTGGGCAGCTCTGCCACCGCCCGCCCGTCCTGGCTTCCTCTGACTTGTCCTCACGCCCGTTGTTTCCCAACCCCCAGCCCTTCCTCTTGGTCTTCTCACTCAGTTTCCCGGGACATATCTCACGGGAGTGTCCTAGTTAAAGGAACACGGGAGGAAAATGTCTTTAACACTTAGTCTGTCTTCACAGCAAGTAACAGAATTCAAAGTGGAAACAACTTTTCCTTGTGCTGTCCCTGCTGCGTGGCCAGTCCCTCCAAGTCTCAGAGTCACCTGTCCTCCTCTGGGACAGTGAGGGTCTCCTTGTCCCTGGGCTCTGACGCTCCTCAGCATGGCCTTGTCCATCTGCAGTGTCCTTCCAAACGAGCCTCCGTTAGTTCTAGAAAATGACTTATTTTGTTTAGAAATTTTCTTCCATTTTTTTTCTGTTCTTTAGCTTTTTCTCTTTTAGATTTTTTTTTTTTTTTTTTTTTTTTCAAATAGTTTATTGTCAGGTTGGTTTCCACATAACACCCAATGCTCATCCCCACAAGTGCCTCCTCCGTGCCCATCATCCCCTTCCCCTCCCTCACATCCATCAGTCCTCAGTTTTTGTCAGCATTCAAGAGTCTCTCATGGTTTGCCTCTCCCCCTTTCCCCCACTATTTCCCCCCTTCTCCTCCCCCACGGTCCTCCATTAAGTTCCTCCTAATCCTCCTATACGTGCAAATATATGGTATTTGTCCTCCTCTGCCTGACTGATTTCGCTCAGCATAACACCCTCAAGGTCCGTCCATGTTGCTACACAGGCCAGATTTCGTTCTTCCTCATTGCCATGTAGTATTCCATCGTATAGATAAACCACAACCTCTAAAATTTCTCATTCTGTATTCTTTCTTATAGAATTACAGTAAAACCTTGGATTGCAGGTAACTTGTTCTATAATTGTTCTGCAAGATAAGCAAACATTTCTAATACATTTTAACTTGATAAACGAGTGATGTCTTGCAATACCAGTAGTATGTGACACTGAATGTCGCATGATCACAGCTGAGCCAATGGTTTTTCTCTCTTTTGCTATGGGATTGTGGATGATTGTCTCCCATGCTCAGTCTCAGGCCATGGTGTCTGGCGGAAATTAGTGATTTTTCAGAATGTTGGAAGGTGCCCACAACTGGCACTGGTGTATTTTTTGTCAGTTCAAAGCACCTGTGGACAATCCTTTGCTTTTCCATACAAGAGTAAGCTTCGGAGTGCTTTGCTTAGGGGCGCCTGGGTGGCTCAGTCGGTTAAGTATCTTGACTTCAGCTCAGGTCAGGTTTCTGGGTTCGAGCCCCGCATCAGGCTCTGAGCTGACAGAGCTGGAGCTGGAGCCTGCTTCAGATTCTGTGTCTCCCTCTCTCTCTGCCCCTCCCCACCTCAAGCTCTGTCTCTCTCTCTCAAAAATAAATCAACATTAAAAAAAAAAAAGAAAGAAAAAAAAGGAACGCTTTGCTTCATTCTAGGTCAGGCTGCCTGCAGATATAGACTCTTTCCTCTGCTGCCTTATTGCCAGTTACATTAAATACAGTATATGACAAGAGCTTATTAATACTGCACTGTAGTCAACATCTGTGCAAGTGTATTCAACGGCCCTCATGCAGAAAAAGGTTGAAAAGAAAGGTGGTAAGAAGGAGATGATTACAGTGTAAGTTAAGAAGGAAATCGAGAAGTATGAACATTGCAAGATTTTATACGTCTATACTGACCATTTTCACAGTATTAAAGAAATGAAAGCTAAATGCAGCAAAAGAAGTCAGGAGAATATCGAGGCAACAGCCACGTGTTCTGGAAGATATGGAAAAGTTGCTTCTGGTTTGGAAAATTAGAAGCAGCTGGCAGATGACACTGTGACTTTATCTGTGAGAACTTTATCTGCTAGAAGGCAAAGGCCTTGTACACCGACCTCATAAGTAAACTGCCAGGTACGTCAACAGAGAAAAAAGAAGTCTTCATTTTTTTTAATTTTTTTTAATTTTTTAATATTTTTATTTATTTCTAGGGGTGAGAGAGAGAGAGACAGCGTGAGCAGGGGAGGGTCAGAGAGAGAGGGAGACACAGACTCTGAAATAGGCTCCAGGCTCCGAGCTCGCAGTCAGCACAGAGCCCAATGCGGGGCTCGAACCCACGAACCGCGAGATCACGACCTAAGCGAAAGTCGGAAGCTTAACTGACTAAGTCACCAGGCGTCCCAGAAAAAAGAAGTCTTCAAAGCAAGCAGGGGATTGTTTGATAACTTTAAGGGGAGAAGTGGTATCCGTTGTGAAGCACGGGGAGGCTAAGGCAGCTGAGCCTTTTGCTACCAATTTCCAGAAGCTCGTGGCTTCCGAGTGTTACCTGCCAGAGC